GACGGTGTGGTACTCGATAGCAAAGGATCAATAAAGATTTGTTCGAATTGAAAAACATTATAGGCACGTATCCATTTGTGGAGAGGGGAGAGAGAGCCTGGAGGGTGGGAGTCAGAGGGAGGGGGGAGGGAGGAGGCAAAAAGAGAAACTAAAGGAACACGTATCGGGACATGCATACTCTTGCTTTTTTCTTTCCACTCTGATCACTCTTGTAATTTAAGCCGTAATTAGATGAATGATGGGTGGTTGGATGGATGGATGGATGGATGGATGATGGATGGACGGATGATGGATGGATGGCCGGACTGAAGGTCAGATGGTTTCAGGCTGGTTTTTGCCGCAGGAAGAGGAGGCAGGAGCGCCACCGTGTGGCTGTCTGGTGAATTGCTTCATCCGGAAGAGCAGGGCGCCTGGGTGGTGGGGCTGTTGGCCCTCAGGGCACCGCCAACCGCGGAGTCGCGAGTCGCAGGCTGCGGGGCTCCCGCCACCTCAACTGCCTGCAGCTCCTGGCAAGCAGCCTGAGCCAGGAAGGAGCTCCACAATCTCCCTGAATGCCTTGAGTCGCAACAAGACAGAGGATGGGCGCTTTTCTGGTAGAGGAGGGTGGCCCTACGGCACAGGGGCCCTGGGGCGCCCCACCACCAGGGGTCCTGATGTTCCGGGGTGGGTGGGCTCAGCTCACGTTTGTTGCATTCTGCATTCTGTGGCCATTCTAAGCCAAGGCCAGAAAGGTGCCCGAGGTGACACTGCTGATGCTGTGTGCTGGGACCGCAGCCTGGACCCTTGCTGCCCACCCGGCACGTTCACCGCCCTCATCTCCCTGGCCGCCCCCGAGCCCGCCTGCACGTGTCTGGGATGTCGCCACGGAGGGTAGGGGGGCTCTGCACACTGCCCACTGCCGGGCCCTCGGGTAGCAGCGGCTCTCGCTTCTCCAGCCTGGCCGTGCTCCCTGCAGGCCAGCATCAGGAGGAGAGTCTGTGCCGTGGCCGGTGAGAGAGGGCTCCCTAGCATTCCTGCCTGTGGGTGGTTGCTGGTCCCATCGAGAAACAGCTGAGTGCCCACTGACAAAGAATCCAAGGGCCGTCGGGGTGGTCCCGTGGATTGTGGGCATCTGGGAAGGCTTCCTGGAGGAGGTGAGAGCAGAACCGAGCTGAACACGGGAAAGAGGAAGGGCAAAGGCAGGGACTGGGATTTGGTCTCCAGCAGGGACTAGACGCAGCATGTCCAAGTGACAAAGAAAGGACGCTTAGAAAGTGGAAAGTGGGAGGTGGAAGCCATGGCCCAGGCACCTTCCTGGCCTTATTCTGCGTGGTGACAACCGCTCTCTCTACTCCCTAACTCACCCCTGCCTCCTGGAGGTTGGGGCAGGAGGATCGGCCAGCCCTGGCCAATGAGAGACCCCGATCCCTCCCACTGGCACGGCGATTGGTGCGGGGGCGATGGCTTGTGACCGGGCTGGGCCAATCAGAGTCAGCCTGGGGCCTCTCCTTGAAACCACCGAGAAAGGGGCTTCCTTTCCACTGGGGTTTCTAAGATCGGGGACCACAGCCGACCACGTTGGTGATCTCAGCCCCAGGATAAAAGCCAACAGAGAAGAAAGCAAAGCCGAGAGATGGAGAGAGACAGATGCAGGCGTGGATTCTCCACTCGTTCATTCATTCACTCTGTAAAAACACCACTAGGCAAACTCTATCCCTGCTCCTGTAGTGCTTCCATTCGGCGTGGGCAGTCAGGCCAAAAATATATATGAGTAAATACAAAGGCGATAAATCAACAGGACAATTTCAGATAATCATGAACACGAAGAAGAACAAAGGGTAGGACGATGGGGCAGAAAGTGGCTGGGGTGGGAAGGTCTTGCTTTAGTCGCTGGTCAAGGAGGTCTCTCTGCAGAGATGACATTTCAGCTGACCCCGGAATGAGTCAGCCATGGGGAGATCTGTCGCAAGGCCATCCAGGCAGAGGGGACAGCAAATGCCAATGTCCTGAGGCGGGAATGAATGAGATCTAGACAACATCGTCCGAGCATCTGGATCCAGCCATGCCTGAAGCTGACCCTTTTCCGTGACATGAACTAATGGTTCTGTTGTTGTTACAAATTGGGTTTCTGCAACTTGCTTTGTAAAAAGTGCTGTCATTTGAAAGAGGTCTGACACCGAAAAACATTGAATGCTGGTCCCCGAGGCCGAGATTTGTGTCCTGTTAGGTAAAGGGAAATCACTGAAGGTTTTTAAATCGGGGACGAATTTTCCTGACCTGCTCCTTCTTTCTTCTCTAGGCTCATCTCCCCAGTGTCCCACCCTCCCCTCCCCTTTTGTCCTGTTTCTCTTTCTACTTCCTCTCCCTCCCCCGTACTGAACTTGGCTGCTGTCAGTTCCCTGGAGGTCCCGCCTCCAGCTCTTTGACCACGGCAGCCCCTCCTCAGAGCCACTAATTTTCCCATTTCTCCTTCTCCTCCCAAGGAACTCAGCCTGGCAGCAACCTAGATATCACTTCCACCAGCTTCATTAATCCTCCTCCTTACTCCCCCAAGTCTGTCTGCTTTCCAAAGTCTGTACTCCTTTGTATACTATATCTTACAATTAACACAGCACCATCAGCCCCGATGAGTAAATTCTCTGGGGTACTGTGTCCCACCTGCCTAGACTAGGAAGAGCCCATGACGCTTCCTCTGTCTGTTCTTTATATATATATAAATATATATACAGTATATATATATAATATTTTATATTATATATATATATTTTATGTTTTTTTAAATGCTTATTTTTTTTTAACATTTATTTATTTTTGAGACAGAGAGAGACAGAGCATGAATGGGGCAGGGGCAGAGAGAGAGGGACACAGAATCGAAGGAAGTAGGTCTGTACCTCTGAGCCATCAGCCCAGAGCCCGACGCTGGGCTCAAACCCCTGGCCAGGACCGTGAGAGGACCTGAGCTGAAGTCAGACGCTTAACCGACTGAGCCTCCCCAGGCGCCCCTGCATAAGCAAAATATAGATGTGCACATATAATACAGTGAGGATGGGAAGAAATGGGAATTTGTGCTTAATGTCCTTGGATTATTTTTTAAGTTTTCTGTATGATGACACACAGTTCTAGCTGACTGTCAGCAATGTGTAAGATCCAAAGAATACTCCAGATGTTTCTACACTCTCTCTCCACCAAGGAGAGACGGAGGGCTGAGGGCCAATGTCTCCTGTGTGCGCCCTGCGTGCTGGGACCCACGCCCCCTGCGGCGGGAGCAGGCCCAGGTGACCTCGAGGCAGGACCCAGTCGCAGAACAGCCTCGCCCAAGACCCCCTTTCTCCTCCTGTCGGTCTCATCGGACCTGCGTGTTACCTCGGGGCTTCCTGTCTCCAAACTTGTTTTCTTACGAGGGAAACATAATCTCTCCAGCGCTGGGCTGGGAAGGCATGCAAATCAGCCTAACAGTGCTCGGTTTTGTGAGTTCTCCTCTTATGCAAAACCTCCTGAAATAAATCAGTCATCCCTAAGCCGTGGGAGGCTTGAGGGGCACAGGAGGGAGAAGGTGGGGGAGCAGGGGATGGGGCCCCAGCCTACCCCCGGGTCTCCTGGAGGCCGCCAGATGGCGGCACGCGCGCGCAGGGCCTGGGGCCCAGAGTGCAACCTGCAGGTGGCCTACGGGCTGGCTCTCGGGGCAAGCGCCCAGGCTGCTCCTTCCCCTGTGCTGGGGTCAAGTCCGGGGAAGCGTGAATTTGACCTTTCTTCTCAAAGGTCACCTCTGCAAGGACTAGTGGAGCCTCTCTAGGGGCCGTCTGGGTGGCTTTGGAGCCCCGCGCTCCTGGCTTGGGATGGAGGGAGAGAGACAGAGACAAAGGAAGGAAGGGGGAAAGTATCGAGTTTGTACAAAACCAGGTGTACGAGGCAGCGCTTTGTTTTCACTTTAATTTCTTTTTAATGGGATGATTTAGCCGCTCTTTTCTCTTCCAGCAGGTCTGGGGCGCGGAGGGGCGCAGAGCGCGGCTCCCAGGGCGGAGGGCTGGCGGGCGGGAGCGCCGTCGGGCCGGGAAGCTTTGATAAGCAAATGCCGGGGCGCTCTCTATTGGCTGTTCCTTCACCGCCAGATTTTGACACAAATAATCAGATTGAAAATCAAGGAGGGGAACAGAAGAGGGAAAAAAAAAAAAAAAACAGAGAGAGAGAGAGTGAGAGAGGGAAAGGGAAAAAAAAAAAAAAAGGAGAAGTATCTATTGGAGCAGAATCCGAGGTTGACAGAGTGGAGCCGGTCCCCAGAGAGGCTGAGTGAGGTTCCCACCAAGACCCGCCACCGACCCGGACGCCAGGTGAGGGCTCCATCCCAGCCTTTTCTTTTTAGATTTGCATGTGTGACTTAGGTTGTTTCCAGGCAGGTTCCCGGGGCCCTTCTGCAGTCATGGGGAGAATGAGGTGGGCTCGGAGATCTCTTCCATGGGGCACAGCTTTCAGTGTTTGAACCCGGCCGGGGAGAAGGCAGTGAGAGGCAGAGCCCGTATGGGAATTACGCCCTCTGCCAACCGTGCATAAGTACCCTTTCCAAAACCCCATCGGGTCTGCCAAGGATCATCTGCGTGTGCGAGGTCATACCCACACCGCGGATCTCCCAGGGACCTGGCCAGAGCGTGGGGTGACACTCCTTGAGGTGCCTGGCTTGGGTGGGGGGCAGCCTGGGGCACCGGCTGGCTGTGTTCCCCCCCCCCCACCCAGTCCTCTGAACTTGCTTTGTCTATAAAACAGGAGTGAACCCCAGTTCCTGGGACACTTTGAGAGTGAGTGCCCTCTCATCCAGAGCCTTGTGAGGGGAGAAGGGAGAGTGCCTTGTCCACTGCCCTGGCCCCCAGCCTCCAGGAACGAGAAGGCTGTAGAAGGGCACATGTCGTCTCAGTCTTTTCTACCTAACTTTGGAGAAAAACCCAAGTTGAGAGTCTGGGCGTCTGGGGTGAGGTCCCCGCTCTACAACAGGGTTTGTTAAGGGGGAAGGTGGTCCCTAGAATCGCTGTGGGTAGCTGCTTGTGTACATTTTTCTGAGAGAGTCTGAAGTTTTCACGAGTCGCCTAGAGGGGGCTAATGAATTTGCAGGCTCCGAACTTGGCTCTGGCACGATCTAACTGAGCTGCACCTGCCCGCGGGGCTCACGCCTCCTAATATTTCTTCGTAAGCAACGGACAGGGAGAAGATTTCAGTCTTAGTGAGCTGGCAAGTTTCTTGTCCTCGGAGGTGGTACACAGGGGACCCTTTATGTACGGAGATGTGTGAGATGGCCTTCCAGCTCAAGATCTGGGGGTCGGTATGCTGGTTTCCCTGCAGAACGTGCCTGGGGAGCATCAGAGACCCCCATCTGGGTTGCGTTTGATGGAGTTAGTCAAAACAAATGCAGAACATTTTCTCGAGGTTTTCAGGAGGGTGGGTGGGGTGGGGGTCCTCTTGGAGAACCACAAGGACTCCCGACGTGTCTGGGGCCAGATCGACTCCAGGAAAATAGCCTAATCACATGTGATCTCGACCCTTTTCGGCAACAACAGAAAACCTCACCCTCCTTAATTTAGAGGGAGGTTTTTTTGTTCATTTGCTCTCAGGCATTCAGACCGATGGGAGCTGCTCCAGTTCGGAGATGTTGGGGAAACGTGTTGTTCGCTCATTTGTGTTCTCGTCGTGGTAAAATGCACATCACGGGAAAGTGACCGTTTTCACCATTTTTTGAGTGTGCAGTTCTGTGGCATTAAATGCATTCACAATGTTGTGCAACCATCACCACCGTCCATCTCAAGAACTCTCTTCATCTTCTCAAACTGAAACTGCCCTTTCTGTGTCTATGAATCTGACTTCTCTGGAGACGTCGTATAAGCCGAGTCCTATGACATTCGTCCTTTCGTGACTGTCTTATTTCGCTTACACGTGCCCTCGAGACCCATCATGTTGTGGCAGGTGTCAGGACCTCCTTCCTCGATACGGCTGAATAATGGTCTGTTGCATGGAACAGCCATATTTTGTTTGTCTACCCCCTGCTGATGGACAGTTGGGTTGTTTCCTTCCATCTTTTGGTTATTGCGAACAGCGCCGCGATCAGTTTGGGTAGACAGGCATCTGTTTGAGTCCCTGCCTTCCGTTCTTTTGGGTGTAAGCTCAGAAGTTGGTTCACTCAGGATAATTGCAGTCTCTCAACGTAAGAGGAAGACGGGAGAAGTGCTTGCAAATTTCAAATAAGAATAATGACCGCTCTCCGCGCGGGGCCCCTAACACCGCCCCGGACCCATTTCCCCTGACTCTTACCTGGAAAAGGGTTTTTAATTTTTGTTTGTGTTTCCCCTTGGGTCACGTCTTTAAACAGAAAGGAAGTCTGAAGCGTCCTCTATCACTGACTCTGAGAAACAACGGAGTCTTACCCAACCCTCCCAAAAAGGGAACCCGGGTGATGAGTTTCTCAGTCAAGGTAGGTCAGTCCCGCGTTGAAGGTCAACAAATTGTGCATGGGATTTTAGAGCAAAGGGGAAGTTTAGAAATCTCTTAGTCCAACGGTCCCTTTTGAGAGATAGGAAAACCAAGCCCCAGGTTGGAGGCTGACGTGGTCAAGCTCAAGGTTGCAAAATCAGACCCAGCCCCACGGGAGGCCCGAGGTGCCTCGTCGTGGGGAAATCACAAGGCTGCGGCTCTGTGTCCGCCTGGAAGTAGGGGTGTGGGGCTGAGATTCTGACCCCGGGGTCGGGGCACCCTCTATCGGGATCGAGGGTTTTGGACGAGATGTTAACACCAAGTCTCTTTCCGGAGGCCGATACCATCAAGACCTCTGTTTCATGAAGAAATCTTAAGGTTCTTTCACAATCTCTGCTCCGAGCCCTTTCTCAGAACCGTCGAGTGAATCAAAACGGTGTGGTTGTTAATTAACTACAGTATAGGTGATTGGTTCCTGTTTTTTTTTTTTTCTTTTAAACTCAGCTAACAGGGGCCAAAAGGAAGTTCTCGCGGTGTGTTTGCCCCCACGGGCGCTTAAAGGCTGGGCCATGAGGCTGGCTGTGCCTCCCTGCCAGGCTGAGCTGAGAGAACTTTCTGGGGAGGGAAGGGGAGGAAGCTGGGGACTCTGAGGGGATCACCAGAATGGGCCCTGAGGGTCGCCTTCCTCCAGCCGGGGACCCTGCAATCTGGGCCCCCCTTGCTCATGCACTTGTGCTGTCCTGGGTTCTAACCGGTTGACCTCTATGGGGTCCTCAGGCTCTGAGCCCAAGGGAACACCAAAGCTTCCTGAAGGAAGTCTTTCTCACCTGCTTCTCCACTCAAAGCTCTTCAGGAACCCACGTGGAACTTCTGGGTTCTGAAAAAAAACAGAGGGATCAAAAGAATTGGATTCCCCCCCCTCCCCATCTCGCCCCACCCGCCAGCCTTCCCTCCCTGCTCCAGGCGGGCAGAACCACAGATGCCCACGGGCAGAGCCCTGGGCCAGGAGTTCAAGTCCCAGCAGAACAGGAACACCGGGCCTGGACAAGCCACTTTCCTCTCTCAGCCTCAGTTTCCCCCTGTGAGCCTGGAAGACAACCTTGTCCCCAGTGGGTGTCAGTTTGGTGACATCATGCACACCAGGGAGCTTCAAATGCCTTCCTTAGCGTTTGGAAGGAGTTCCCTCTGCACAGAGTAAAGCGCCCGCTCGACGGTCTGACGGTCAGGAGCATAGAAGCCTGGGGGGGCGGCCTGGGATCTGCTGGGGATCATGAGCGAGTCTCTAAGCCTCCGTTCCTCCTCCGAAAAGTGGGGCAGTAGCAACTCAGCCCCCAGGTCAGAATTAACCGAGCTAAGGCCACGCATATGCTGGCCGCAAGAAGGATCTCCTGGGATTCCAGCACTGAAGCTTTAAGGCCTGCCTTTGGTTCTGACTTCCTAATAAGATACTATATAAAAATAATAAATCATCTTTGATGGAGAGACCATGGTCCCTTGGAGGCCTCCGCCC